AAACTATCTTAATCGACTCTTTCTAATCTTATCTTTCACTCAGTTATTCCAACTTTTCAAGGATATGTTCATTTCGTATTCTGTCTCTAATAGTGAAGCCATTCATCCACCTGATCATTCTCATCTCTTCCACACTTTGACTTAATATTATGATTCTCTTTTAATGGCCAACATTCTGCATCATAAATCATTGAAGGTCTAATCACTATCTTATAGAAATTTCTCTTAAATTTGAAGACTTTTTTTTTATCAAGCAACATAATAAATAAATAAAGTTTTTATACTTAAAACTTACTTTAAGTAGTAAGAGCCTAATATTTAGTTTGGGATATTTTTCTTATTGTTTTTTAAAATAACTTTCTACTTTAAGAATTAGTAAGAAATTTGTCCTAAATGGAGCCAAAATGTAAAAAAAAATATATATGTTTGCTGATGGACATTTCTTGCACATTTTTTAATTTAATTTTTATTTAATGGGATTAAAAGCACGTTTGCCTATTATTATGTGCAAGGCACTTTATGCTTTGCGCACATGATGCTCACTTAAACTCAAATCTATATTTTTAAATTTGAGGAAGTTTCTTTCAAATAATGATTATTTTCTTTTTTGTATAATGATTTTATTAATCTTGGTGAGGATTATGATCTCAGTCTAATGGAATTTTAAGCCCCCAAATTTTAAGCCCCCAAAGTTTCTATTAAAGATTTTCATATGAAATTAAGGTTTTATTTGAATCAACTTTTTGATTTTTTTTTACTTAAAAACTATATGTATTTGAAATATTAGTTTTTATTGCTTTTCTCAACTTTTGCTTTTAGAAAATCACTTTTGAAATGATGACTAAGGCTTTGTTTGGGACGATTTTCTTGCTGCTTCTTAAAACAATTTTAATGTTCAATAATTAAAATTTTGTGCTAGAAAGTTGTTTTAAGAAGCAACAAAAAAGGCATCCCAAACGAAGCATAAAATAGAACTAAAAAGTTAAAATAAAGAAGTTTAATCTGTTTAAAATATAGCCTAAGATGTGGGAGAGAGAGAGAAAAGATCTAAGTGAGATCATTTTGGACATGAACAAATTTTTACTCTTTATTTATCTTTGAGCCAATATTTGAGATATAATGACTTATTTGACAAAAGATAAAGAAGATAAATAAATAAATCATTTAGTTATGGGGCGGATGACTATTCAAGACAGTTGAATACAATACAAGAATTTCGAGCAAATTTTAAAGTAGATGGTGAATTTTTACAAAGAGTTTTTTCAATAGGAACTCCAAATCGCTTAACAAGCATTTTAAATGAGTAGCGAGATTTCGTGGGTGAATAGCCTTCGCGAATAAATGAGATCGTCGATTTACTGGTGGGTTCAATAGCGAGTTACGATGATCAAATATGTAATCACTTCGTTGACTTAAAATTTGGTGCATATAGAGTTGATTCGTGTCTAATGATTTGTTGAATCATATTCATATCATTACGATGATTAGATCAATATGATATATAAGATGAATATGATTTTATGCTAAAATTGATATTATATTTATTTTTTTCTTATGATATTCTAATTATATACATAGGAGATTGGTTAAAGTAATATATGCAAAATCAAATTATGAAGCTTATTTATGAGTTTAAGGAGCTGTTTGATTTGAGTTAGTATTAAGTATTATTACTATAAGTCTTCTTTGAACACATGAGTTTTGAAGTAGTGATTCTTATTAATTAAAATAAATCCAATGTTTTTCTCAAAGAAATTTAGAGTGCTAACAACTTTTTTTTTTTTTTTTAATTTCAAATTAAACATTTGTGCTTTGATATAACAAAGGGTCAATAGGAAGTCCCATCAATCATGCAACATCTTTTTTTTTTGTGATGAGGATGCACTGTCTTTAGGCCAGTGTAAACCCCGGTCGACCTAACATGCAACCCACACCAATTTACACGGGCCAACACTTAAGGTTGCAACATCTATTTTGACCATCGACTCCCTGATGTTTGCCATGTCATCGATCTATTGATATGGGCAAATTGATGATATCTTTAAAATAGTCAAGTTGTAATCCTATCAAGAAAATTCCCGGGTTCACTACTAGTGCACCCGCAATTCATATCCATATGTCTGACATAAGTAACAACACCATCGATTTGAATAACATGCTCTAACCTTATGATGAAGGTGTTGCAAAAGCTTCAGTGCTTATGACACCATAGATGTATATGATCGCATCCCTATCATTTTAATAAGCTCTTAACTTTATATAAAATTATTATGTGTGGATACGACGCAATGGTGCCGAATGTTGGCCATTAAAAGAGAAGCATAATACTAAGTTAAGTGTGGCAGAGATGAGGATGCTCAGGTGGATGAGTGGCTTTACCCTTAGAGATAGGATACGAAATGAGCATATACGTGAAAATGTTGGAGTAGCTTCAGTAGAAGATAAGATTAGAGAGAGTCGCCTTAGATGGTTTGGTCACATAAAACGACGGCCTTCCGATGACCCGGTTAGGAGAGTAGAGGTATTAGATTTGACTTATGTTAAGAAAGGTAGGGGTAGACCTAAAAAGACTTGGTTAGAAAATGTTAGGAATGACCTTTCTTTATTAGATTTAAATGAGAATTTGACTTTTAATAGGACACAATGGAGAAAAATGATTCATGTAACCGACCCCAAGTAGTGGGATAAAGGCTTGATGTTGTTGTTGTTGTTGTTGATGTGTGGATACAACGCTGTCCAGAGGCGAGTTAGAACGCGTCACACCCCCTTCTTTCCTGGGTACCGTGGTTATGTACTGAGTGACGTGGATCATTTATAGGCCAATTATAGTGATGATTTTTTTTAAAAAAAATAAGATTATTTAATTTTATATGGAAAATAAAAAATAAGAAACTTATCTACGTATTTATGACGAACTGCAAAATAAAAAAAAGGATCGTTTACTGTTTCATTAAAAAGTAGAAAAGCCCACTATCTTTTAAGCCCAATTAACTAAGTAAGCCCATGGACTTTTCTACTCTAATGTTCTGTTTACAGTCCCGTTTCGACTCAGCTTCTTCATGAAATAAACGATATAATTTCTCGAATTATATGCCGGGAAGAAAGTCATGGCGAAAGCAGCCGCGGCCCCGGCGGCTTCTGCTCTGCTGAGGCGTTCATCTGATTTACCTTCATGGATCTTCTCTATCTTATCTCCAAAACCCCATATTTTCTTCTTCTCCACTTCGCCACACGCTGGAAGCTTGGGCATCCGTAAACATGCTCTCAGCCCGGTGAGGCCGCCATCGGACGGCAGTGATATTGGCAGTGATGAAGTAGGGCTGAAAACCAGCGGGGATTCTTTCAAGAAGAGCCGCAATGAGCTGAAGAAAGAGGCTCGACGGGCCGTTCGCTGGGGGATGGACCTTTCGACTTTCTCCCCTCCGCAAATCAAATACATACTTAGGTATTGCTATTCTCTCGATTGCGTTTCCTTTGAGTTGTACGTATTTTTTAGATTTTTCTTTTATCGTTGTGGATTTCAGGGCGGCTTCTCTCGAACGAGAGGTGGTGGATGCCATTTTGCTAGTAAAGGTTCCGATTTGCCACTCTGCCTGTTTAGTTTGCTTCAGTTGTGATTTTATTAAATATGTTCTGCTTTTCAGAGATTGGGTCCTGATGTTCGAGAAGGAAGGAGGCGGCAATTTAACTATATTGGTAATATATTGGATAATTAAACTCTACATTTTACTGAATTATCGGATACTAGTCTTTTTAGATAGAGTATTGATATGTCAGTTCTTGATTTAGGCTTGTTAGGTGATGTATTTTTGTGAATTCTCATGAACTAGAAAGGTGCAATGGATGTTGTGTGATGTTGTTTATAGGCAAGGAGGAAATATTTTCTCGACTAAGGGTTCGTTCGGAACGGCTTTCTTACTGCTTCTTAAATCAGATTTCTCACAAAAAATTTAATTTTTTTTACCAGAAAGTTGATTTAAGAAGCAATAAGAAAGCCGTCCCAAACAAACCCCGAGTTTATGAGTTGAATATTTTCTTCAAACTGCGATTATGAGCTAATGACAATGTTTTAGGTCTATGAAGGCTTTTAAATGGTCTTTATTTGCTTAATTTATAGCTTATTTAGGTAATATTTGTAGAATATGTTAACCTGACAAATTCGCTTTTCATTGGCAAATGTGGATATTTCTTACAACACTGGCATTTAGTAGAAATTATTAGTAGCAAATGTGGATATTTCTTACCACACTGGCATTTAGTAGAAATTATTAGTTCCGGATGAAGTGCAAAAGGTGCATCAACCAATTAGGAGATGACACATGGCATTAGTGCTCAATTGTACACAACTATGTACGTGCTTTTGATTGGATAGGTTCACCTTTGACATCTTCCGCAGTTACAGGAATTGCGTGGAAATTATAAAAAGTTATTAAGCTTGCTAATTAAAATTTAATGTTTCACAAGATTGATTTTAGGATTTCTTAGTTATAGATCTTATAATTGCATGCAGTTACAATATAGAGTAGGGAGAAATTAAAGTAAGAAAAATAAAAAAAAAAATCTTAATTTGCCAATCACAAGAATCCACCGTTTAACAATTAGAATGATCGCCTTGAGTTTTCCTCACTCATGCTCATCGATATTTTAGCAGAAGAATAATTGATACAATATTAACGATGCCACCACAAGATAGTAGACACTTACAATATTGCTTATTGAAGAGTTGTTCGGAGAAGAGGTAGCTGGTGGGTGATGGAGGATTTGCCACTGAACGGGAAGTTGATGCTCGTTGATGAAGGTTGTTAAGGAAAAGAAGATCCGATCGATGTAGTCTTCGACGGAGTGGTCGATCTTAATTTATGTCGAAGAAGTCAGACCGATGAACATCCATTCGTCCTGAAGGGTCGAATACAAATCTATGGTCATGCTCGGGGTCGGCCATCCATGGAGAGTGAAAGTTCCTCCAATTTTGGGAGGGGGCTAGGATGGCCAACGGCTTGTATGGAGAAAGAGGGAGGGGTTTAAGAAAGGCTATTAGAATTTGAGAATTAAATCCAACAATTATTCTAGACCTGGGTAATTAATTGCTGGAGTTAATGAGAGGAGAGAGAGAAGGGAATTCAAATTTTGAATTCCTAAAAGAGAGGTGAATTCCTAAAAGAGAGGGAGGGAGGGGGCGGCCGGTTCTTAGAAGGTGGAATTGGTTGGGGTTCAGTTAGGAAGGGGCTTTTAGTGGAGAGAGAGAGAGAGAGAGAGAGAGAGAGAGAGAGACTTTGCCCTCACCTAGGGACTTTGCCTCTCTCTAGAGCTTTCAATACTCATGAGAACAAGAATACATAAATTTTTTATTAATCATCATCCAACCTCTTACAATATTGAAGGCCTCCATATATAGGCCTCAAAATAAAAAAGACTCAAAGATTAAAATCCCGTGTAGGGGTACAACACAAACTAATCCCGTGTAGGGGTACAATGGTAATGACTAAATCATAAGCACAATAAATACATAAAATTCATCAGAAATAAAGACTCTTAATCGTAGCCATCGATCTTCGATTACTCCTGTGATAGACGCGCCATAATCTTCTGTTGATATCCTGATCATAAAGTATACCAAAAATAATTAATTTCAAGGTCATATAGTTGTTACCTTCAGAGTTTTAATGGTGCACTTAGTTCTCTCTTGTATAAATTTTGTTGAAAATGTTGAGTTGTAGGACTATGGTCAATAAGTTTTGGTGGAGATGAACTAATTTGTTGTTCATGCAGAGTTACTAGATTTCTAATAGCTGTGTAATCATACTAACATTAGCAAAAAATACACCTTATCATATTAGGGTCAAATATAAGAGAGTTGCAATTTCCTTATTGGTAGAAGATATCTCTTGAGCCGTCTCAAGATGTGAAGGTCAATGACTGGTGAGTAGGATCGGAGTTGTGTGCTTGGTGCTCCACTCGTGTTGGCGGTTGAAGGATTGGTTGCAGAAGTCTTAGTTAGGTTATAAGGGTTGATGATTGTCTACAGCCTACATGAATCATTGCAATGGGCATATCTTTTTGAAATATTGTAAGCAAAAGATTCAAGTGCATGGTAATGCTGACCAGATAGTGTGTGGAATGATCTTGGAAAATGTGAGGCATGTGTGATAAGAATGAGATGGACACAAGTGAAGTGATATTTTACAGAAGTGGACATGGAACTTCTTCTCGTGGTAGCATGTGGAGCAATTGTGGTAGATGGAGAAGGGATGAACTCATATTAGCAATCTATGTGCATGAAGTAGATGAGGAGATGTGGATTGTGCCTAGTTTGGGCAATGGAGTGGAAATGTGAGCTAGCTATGGAGTGAGCACACGAGGACGAGGGTTTAGTGATTATGTGTGACGTGCGATATGTGAAGCTTTGTGCGAATGTTGCAAGATGTGCGTAAGGATCATTGTTAGGATGTCAGGTTGCGACTGGGCGATGATGTATGCTTTGAACAATGTGGAATTAGGATTAATAGGGTTTATGGGATTAATGTGCATGTTATGGCCAGCACATTATTTTATTGCGTAATGTGAGGTGCATCTCAGTACAATTCTAATGAAAAACACCTCGAACCTTTTTTGTGAGGCATGCACCTCTGTTTGGCTGAGGCATATGTCTGAACCAATTTATATGTTTTTAATTAATTTTTTTCTAAATTCTAAACTAAAGCTTCAAATAGATCACCCCTTCACACACCCCAAAGCCACAAAAGCTTCCTCTTGATTGCCTCGTTCTCTTGTCTGCCGCCTGCCTACAGCCATAACACATTATTTTTTAACTCGGGAAGCATTGGACAACACAGGTGATGAGGCAGGGAAGAGAGCAATTTGTTACGACAACGATTCAAATAAAGATCCTCTTAGTGATGATAGTGCAAATGACTTCTAAGTTATTGCCATACTATTTTAGTTTTATTTAGGAATTAAATGTGGATGAGTAGGGAACTTAGAAAGAATGAATTTGGAGTTCAACTTGATGTTATATGATATTTTTATGCAATTATTTTATTTAATGTTGTTTTGCTCATGTGATGTTTGATTTCAATTCTATTTCATGTAATTTATCAATTGTTAGCTTACGTCTTGTGCATTTTTTGTTTTATATGTATGAAAATTTGTTACTTCATAATTTAATAGAAAGTTAATATTGATCCTTTAACCTATTATTTAATTATCATACATTAAAAAAAAATCACTTTTAAATTTTACTTTCACTTTACGCAATTTTTGGATTTTGATGTTCACGCCTTAAGGCTTATGACTTGTCCTAGATGAAAGCTTCATGGAATGGAAGCCAAGAATGGTACAGGCGAAGATACAAGAACTGAGTAAAGAAGAAGCGATATATTCAATGAGTAAAAGGAGAATACAGAGACCCTATATATAGGCTTAGATAATAGCCTGATATAAAAGGAACCAATGAAATAAATACACGTGTAAAGTAATCAATACAATATTAAGCTATGTTGTCTAACATCCCCCCTCAAGGTGGTGAATCTAAGGGCTGCACCAGTTTGTTTGTAAGAGATTTAAATCTGGGTGATGGCAACGGCTTCGTGAGCAGATCAGCTAGTTGTTCTGCGGTAGGTATGTGATGAATATGTATTGATTTTTCTTTGATGCATTGGCGAATGTAATGACAATCAACTTCGATGTGCTTGGTTCGTGCATGAAACACTGGGTTGTTGGCCAATGCTATGGCCGAAGTATTGTCGCAGAAGAGGGAGGTAGCTGTGGTCTGAGCGCAGTGAAGTTCTTGTAACAGAAGGCGAATCCATGTGACTTCAGCGGCGGCGGAGGCTAATGCTCGATATTCAGCTTCAGTAGAGGATCGAGCTACGGCATTTTGTTTCTTCACGCTCCACGAGATGAGAGAGGAGCCGAGAAAATTGCAGTAACCTGACATAGACTTCCGATCCTGTGTGTCACCGGCCCAATCGGAGTCGGCGTATGAGCGAAGAATGAGATCGCCGCGAAAGAGAGGAAGTCCAATGTGCAGTGTACCCTGGATGTACCGAAGGAGACGTTTGAGATTGTCAAAGTGCTGAATGGATGGATTTTGCATATGTTGACAGATCTTGTTGACGGTGTAGGCGATGTCCGGCCGAGTGAGTGTGAGGTATTGCAAGCATCCAGCAAGTTGCCGATAGAACGTTGGATTTGAATAAGCAGCGGTTAGACCGGTATTAGTAGAACTTTTTAATTGAGATGGAGTTGAGACTGGTTTACAATTAGACATACCTGCACGAGTCAGAATGCTTTGTGCGAATCTAGTTTGGTTAAGATGAAGTCCGTAAGCTGTAGGAGTGGCTTGGATACCCAAGAATTGCGAAATGGTGCCGAGATCTCGCATAGTAAATGTGGAATGGAGATTGTCCAGAAGTTTCTTGATGGCAGTGGGATTGTTTCCTGTAAGCAAAATGTCGTCAACGTAGACAAGAAAGTACATACGGATTTCATTTTTGTAATAAAGAAAAAGAGATGGATCGGAGATACTAAGCTGAAATCCGAGGGTTTGAAGGTGACCGGATAGAGTGGCGAACCACTCTCGAGGTGACTGTTTTAGTCCGTAAAGCGCTTTCTTGAGGCGGCAGACGTGATTTGGATGATTATTGTCGATGAACCCAATCGGTTGTTTCATGTAGACAGTGTGATTGAGAGTGCCGTGGAGGAATGCGTTTGAGACATCCAGTTGGTGAATTGGCCATTGGTAATGAAGAGCAATGACAAGAAGGATTCTAACGGTCAGTATTTTCGCGACTGGACTGAACGTTTCAGTGTAGTCAATACCTTGTTCTTGATTAAAGCCTTGCGCGACAAGTCTGGCCTTGTATCGTGCAACCGAACCATCTGCAAGGTATTTGGTGCGATAGGTCCACTTGCATCCTAAAATATTTTGTGTTGCGTCTGAAGGAACTAACTCCCAGGTGTTTTGTGACTACAGGGCTTGAAATTCTTGCTGCATCGCTTGTTGCCAGTGTTTGAGACCTACAGCTTCTTTGTAACATGTGGGATCGGTGAGGTTGGAGGTATGTGTCAAGCTGAAGATCTGTTTTGGTCTGGAATGACCTGTTTTTGATCTAGTTTGCATAGGATGAGCAGTTTGCTGTCTTGTGAATGTATTAAGTGGTGCCGTAGTAGTGGTACTCGGAGTGGGATCAAGAACCGAAGGGTTCTGAGTTGGCATGACATCTGTAGAAGGTATGCTGTCCGATGCTTGGGCCGTGGTAGGGACACGGGTAAAATTGGTTGTTGATTGAGTTGGAACCAGAAGAAGCGGGGGAATAGAGTTAGAGGTGGAAGACTGA